TGTGGAAACCTTTATTCTGGAACTGTGAAAATATTTAAAACAATATTTTATTTTAATATGTAACAGTTAATGTAAGCTAACTTTTATTTTTGGTATCCGTAAACTGAGAGAAGAAAGTGGTTTTCACGGATTCCTTGTAAAAGAGCAACTTTAGCATAAGTTTGGATTAGCAAAATAAACATTGCTAGTTTTAGTATTTTCATTTGAAATATTCATAATAATGTAGATTTAAATAGGAAAATGTTACAGAGACACGTGTTTAATGCGATAACATTGAATTACTATTAAGAATACTGTTCACACTAAACGAGATCGAATTCGTGTTGTAATTATAAATATTATATTACTTTATCCTACTGTGCTCTAAATATAATGCAACTGTTCTTAATTTTCAGTATAAAATGCAGAAAGCGCTGCTTTTCTTACTCTCACTTCGAGAAGCTTTACTTGTGCATTAATTATACTGTGAAATATTTACTGATTATATCGAGAAGACTCAATAAATTTGATGTAAATAACAACATCGTTGGTAATTTGTCTTTTACCAGAATAAGCATAAATTATTAAGGACTGCACAAGATATACCCATAATATAAATAGTTCCATCAATAGAATTACAGCGAAAATCTGCAAAAAACATCAAAAAATAAATATGTACGTAACCCACTCTTGTACTTCAAAACTTTTCTTGTATCGCTTATAAACACAGAATCAGCCAGGTGCCGTCTATCAAGTCGCAAACAAAACGCTTTTATTGCAATACCATAAAAATCTACTTTTACAACCGAGTTTATGAAGAATATTCCACGTTTACAGATAACACTTTACTCACCTTAAGAATTGTTTGAGGTGTTGCTATCAATGCTCTATTGCTAGTTTATGATGTACTTAAGTTTTTAAGTCTGAATATTAGTATCGAATAATAAATAAGTATATAGTTATATTATATTTGAATAAAATATTATAATAATACATGTAATACTCATATATGCAGACATTATGATTTTAACGAGAAATTATGTGGGTTGTATGTAGCAATACAAGAATATCAAATTATTATAAGCCGTAGATTGGAAGCCACTTGATCATGTCTTCGAGGAACTCATTTTCTATAAAATTCTAATTTAGGCTTCAATAAATCGTTTACAATAAAGAACACTCTCCGAGTAAAAAGTATGGAATAAATTTAAACCATGCTTTTAGATAACAAGTCACGTCTCCAATATTGGGATTGCCTTCGTATCGCGATCAATTCAGATTTAATTATTCAAAGCCCGTCGGTATGTGATGAGCGGCGCGTGGTCAAATTCTTTAATTTTAATGGAATTCCCATTAATAGATTTATTGATCTTGAGTTGCGATTTTAGAAGTGACCGGAAACAAATTTAGACCATTTTAATTGACATTACATCATGTCACTTATTCTTATATATAACAAAGAAACTCTTCTCTTATATTTGCTAGTATTTGTAAATGTTTCTTTATATTCAATAAATTATATGTTAAAAATATGAATAGTCATTACATTCTTTATTATTTGTATGGGTGAATTGTCGCTAAATATAAAGTTTTAACGCTAGTTACACTAAATGTTCGAATTCAGAAAATATAATTCTCAGGCGAGGGTATTCGCTCGTGAATTTTTTATAGTATCACGATCACGAACTGCCATGAAATTTATTGTGATTTATGTTTAGCCGACTACGAGCTTTACAAACCTTTATTCATATATCATAAACTTATATTAAGATATAAAGAAATACCTAAGTAACAAAATATTCCTCATACTAATTTATTTAAACTCGTTTCAGTATTATCTTGTTTTTTCAGAGAAAAATTTTTAGCGTGGCCATTTGTTTGTAACCAATGGCAGCACAATAATTTTATCAGACTTTTCGAATATGTGCCGAACCGCTAGAATATATATTTTTAAATCAAATAATTTCATTTCTCTTATATTAATAACTTGTATCCATCATTTATGTCAATTAAAGCAACTCATTATATTTTCTAAGGTAAGCTTATTTGTAACTACTGAAACGGACGCTATTCCTTCATGCTAAGTATAATAGAAATAATTTCTAAAACAGCCATCTATCGTATTGTTGAAGAATTATTTCTCTATTCAAAAAACTGAGAAAGTTACGGGTATCATCAAAGACTGTTACAGTCTGAACTTGGTTATTTAATGATACAGTTCCGGAAAATGTCAACAGATGACGTGATTTACAAAGCTTTAAAAATAAAAAAAACCCTGCATATATGTACGTTCTACTCATAACAATATTTACTTATTTTTCATATTTAAATAAATATATTACAAAACATTCTATCATATTTACTAATTAAATAAGATACGATGATTGTTTATCTGTAAAGAGCAAATGGTCCTTAGTCATATGTTTTGTAAGTCTTAATAAAATTATGTTGTTATCATGTTACCTAATAAATTCACAGCTTTGTAATTAAATTATCACGTTTTCACTAAAGTTAAATGTGACTATACAATACTTGCTAATGTCACGTCAGTCGAATTTTTTTTACTTGTTTTTTAGAACGGCTAGAGCGTTTTTCGGGCAAGGTAATATCAGAAGACGTAACTTAGATTTATTTACCTAATTTCAAAAGTAAGGAGGTTTTTCCTTAAAATAACCCTAGCCTTTTGAATAAGTACTTACATACCCAAATAGTATCAAAGGACCATGTATGATGAGTCCACAATGAACATCAGCTAGTTCATTCATTTAATGTTTTCTTTTAAAACAAAATACATTTATATTGTTACTTTCTAACAGTTTAAACTAAAATTTGTAGAACCCATATTATTTTCATTGATAGTTCTAGTGGAACCAGCCTAATTTAAGACATGTTAAATATTATAACTAGTAAAACATAATTATAAGTTACATCAGTTGCAATCTTAGCCTATTTTAAAGAAAGACAAGAAAGATTGAATAATTTTTATTTAATAATTTATTTAAAATATTTTTTCACACATTGATTATACTAGGAACTTTATACAGATCATAATAAAGTTCATGTCATATCTTTAAATATAAGATGAAAATACAATCACAATCGTCGTATTTACAAAATGTACACAAATGTACATGAAAGAGTAAAAAGATGAAACTTATACGTAAAAATCAACTTCTGTAATACTGCACAATATGTTCTACTGATATAATTGTTGTATAACTTATATAATACTTTTGATGACATTGTAAAGTTTTCTTTTATTCAGTTATCTAAAATAATATATTATAAATATAATTCTTATTCTTTCTACTTTTTACTACCAATTTAATTAATATAAGGATATTTGCTTTCAAATTGGTTTTGTATCTGTTTTGACGTCAAAGTAAATATTTTGTTAATTCTGCTATTGTGAGGAACCACTTTTATTTGTTGCCGGTACAATATTGTAAACAAAAGCTCTATTAAAAACCACAGTAACTCAATAACACTCACAATGGATCCCCCGAGGCACAAACCGAAGATAGCGCCCAGATTGGCTGAAAATATATAATAAGGAAATTTGAAATAATTATGTACAGCTTTTATATTTATTTAAATCTAATCAGAAAATAATTGCTAATAATACAAAATTACTAACATTTAAATTGACTGAGAAGTTTCAAGTTTAAGGTTGAAATATTTAAATATAACTTAATTACAGATTATTATTTCGAGCTAAAAATGTAGCCTATATTTTATAATTACCGAGCATCTGATCCCAAGTATAGAGAACCTCTCTTCGGTACTTGATATAAGTATTGTCAGCAAAATGAACGGCGACACGACAACCATGTTGAGTCTGACTAAAATAAAGTCTTATTTAGTAAGCTGTGGTTAATAAGTCACTATAATTACTGAAATTGCACATTGTATGTATAAAATTAGTTACAGTTATACGTTGTACATTAGATATTAGTGTCATATTAAAGTTGCTGAAATAAACAGTTAAAACAATAAAACAGCTAAAACAATAAAGTAGAGTTAAATTTCTTACCTGTCGTTCTTATCCATGTTGTAATAATATGTTTTGGTCTCGTACTGAACTAAGTCACACTTTTGATAACATTCCTTCTCCGACATTATATGTCTAATATGGCTCTGTACTTTATCTAGAATTAAAATATAATGTAATAAGATAATAATTTTGTTTTTGGTTAATATATTTTAATAACAGTGACCTCAGCTCTTTCTAATCTAGTTTCTACCATCCTCGAACTATCCCACAGGTGTTTTGATGAAACAAATTAGTAATAACATCGCTTTACACGGTACCTAAGATGTTACATATTATGACGACATGTGATTTTAATGTTAAGATAAAATGAGATATTGAATAAAGAATAAATTTATTTTATTTCAGAAAATCTTATAAAAATATTACTAGAAAAGAAAGGGCAGCATAATAATTTAAAGTAAGTTTCGTTATTTTCTTAAGAACTCAAATCTATGGTATTTATTTAAAATAAATTTATTGTCTAGGCATTATAACAAATACTAATGTTTATTCATATCTTTATAATGCATTTTAAAAACTCAAATAAAACGTTAAGGGCGATTTATTTATAAACCTATGAGGAGTGTTATATGTATATCTACAAGTGTATATTATTTTATTGACATATCTTCTTTTAAGCAATATCATGAACATAATAATAAAGAACCTAAATCTTGAAAAAAATCTGTGTTTTTAAACTTACTTAACATGTTGTAGATACATTTTAATCGTTCCCATGTACAAGGTGGAAATTCTTCCAACTTTAATTCTTCTGCTGAAAAAAAGTTAGAAAATGTACAATAAAGTAAAAATGTTAACAATTTTATCTTAAAACTTACCACTATATTTAAATGGTAAACAGCGACAGTGTGTAACCACCTTCTGCAATAAGTGTAAAGTTATGCAACTTTGATAGGAATCAGCCTCATTTTCTGTGGTCTACAATTTAAAATAAACTGGTGAAAATCTTAAATTGATAAACAATGATTTAAATAAATTCTAACAAAGGCAACAGTACTTCACTCAGAAAACACTTTCTATTCGGCAAAGAAAGAGTTCTGACGTCTTCCGACGACTCGATGATCCAAACAGCGACTGTGATATCGAAATAAGCTCTGGCAGTGAGCATGATCGAAGTGTCCAGAAGAGTCAGCTTATTTTGGAGGTCGAATACAAAAAGCTGAAATATCAATAACAGTTACATAATGCAAAAAATAATTGAAAATTTTGTAATAATTATATGAAATTCAAACAAAGTACAAGAAACATGTACATTAGGGACACTATCAGAAGAAATTCCTCTTGTTGATATTGTTTCTGTGTTCACAGTTATCTCCAAGGCCTCTGATATATCTTTACCTGCTTCCAATTTAACGTTTTCATTTGCTTGCGTCCTGAAAATATTTTTAATATGAATTATTAAATAAAAAGGTTATTGTGTGTCAATAAGCATTATTTGAATAAAATATTTTTTTCTTTGTTGCTAGTTGCTTATATTGAAATAAACAATTTTTTTGAGAATTTTGTGTATACTAATGAATCAGCATAAAAGTTTGTTTGTAGCCTGGAGCTATTTTCAACAAGTTAAGGTTATTTTGTGTATTACAAAACATAAGTTTTGGTATTATTGCCAGAAAGTTGTTTTTGCCAAATTTAACCCAAAATAAGACGGTTTCCAAGATATTGTGTAATAACCCAAGTTAAAGTCTTTTATTTCGGGTAAGGACCAATAAACTCGATCGATTTCTCTCTTGGCCAGGTTGGAAATGAAATGTTTTATTATAAAATAAAACTTTTTGGACCTGAAATATTTGACATCAAATTGGCAGCAGTATCCCATCACCGTGAATACCTTTCTAAACATTCGGGAACATTCGACAGTCTTAGATCTCCACATACATTCTTGAATCAAAAGGTGACACGGCTTTCTTAACTGAAATAAGATATGAGCTACAACGATAACTCTTTATCATAATGGTGAATTTAACTGTAGAATATTTATAATTATGTAATGGGATATTTTTCATATAAAATTATCTTATTATTTTAAGATTCACTGTTCAAAAAGTTTCAAAACCAAAAAAGGCACCTTAAATACTGGATTTCAAACAAAAGTGACTTTAGTCGTTACTATTTATATAATTTGTATTTAACTTCACCCTGATTTAGACTATCACCAAGGTAGTTAATTATCCTGTGATATTCAGTTCACACTATTACAAAATTATTTTAACTCAAAATCATACAGCGTGTTTCACTTGACTAATATAAAATCATGTAAATTGAAGGTATCGCCATTTTAAAATAACACATAATGACAGGCAATGATAACAAAAATTTTAATCAATATACCTTCTCCAAGAGTATGTTGTATGTGTATCCTAATCGTTGAAGTATGTTATGCATTTCATTAATATAGTTCTCTGGATTATAATTATTATTTTTGATGTCAATAAAACTTTGATAGAAATTATTTATTTTGTCCTCATTGTTACCACGAAGACTCCTAAAAGTATTGTATATATATTATTTTATTAAAGATTTTATTTCATTCCTATATGTAGATAAAATAATTTAGTATATTAAATTTTATATTAAGCATTTCAATAATCAATATATAATGCTGTGTAAATAACATAATGGAGTTTTTAATATTTCTATACAACTAAGAAATAAAACAAAAATAATTATTTAAACTAACAGAATCCTGGTTATATTCTCTGTGTTTGGACCTTAATCTATTTCCAAAATACAAACAGCGACGGCCGGTAAAATTACGTTATCTATTGAGTAATGTGTAGATTCAACTTATGAGAAAATTGGTTTATATTTACCACATCTTTCACTAGTATAAGTGTAGTTTTATGTAGTACTAGCTGCCCAGCGGACTTCGTACCACCCTATAATGGAGAAATATCTGTTGCGTTTTTATCTGAATGAAGTTAATTTCCTTATTCCTCAATGGAGTTTTGCCTGGTTCAACCTGAAAAACATTAATCACTCAGTTTCCACTTTTACATATCAACAGCATATTGGTGACAGAGACACTAACATATTAAGATGTGATTAAAATGTCTTATGTGTTTGATAACAATTTTGTGATTATCAGATGGCATGTGATCTATTGTGGTCTTGAATAATGCAACCAATGGGTTGTGCCGATGGAATAATAAGTGGAACTGTTTCACAACTGGTCTTTTCACAGAATAGTTGTGTGCACAACGCTGATCAACTTGTCTTCCTGAATCGCCAATGAAATTAATTTGGAAAAATTTATAGTCACTGACCGGCACTAGTAATAACGAATAAGTTCAATGATACATTTGTCCTTGAATCTGCAAAGGTAAACATTCCTGTATTACATATACATATTGTAAAGTGAATTGTTCAAACCACCAAGTGACATTCAAAATACTTTGTGAGCACTACCATGTCCCCTATCAACTTTTTTAACACAATTCCTTCTGGCTACTAAAAGTAATTAACAGAGCTACAAATGTACTTTAAGCCATTTCAAATGATACACCATTACAATTGAAAACTGTCAACAATAGTGGTAAATGTTTTTCAATAAACTTACCTTAAAAGTTGCCATAAAATTTATTGTACTGTAGTCCATTTCTTTGTTATAATAAAATGCAGCTCTAAAGGGGTTAAAAGCAACACTTCTATATTGTTGGTTTCGGTTCCATCGATTCCGTTTAACTTCATTCCGCGTTTCACGTTGTTCATCAGTTAGACTTGCTCTTCTATTTCTTTGACTTGAGGCATTACGGGTTCTGCGATTTAAGTTTGTACGTCTAATTGCCGGCATGTTTTGATACAAAAATTCAACTGAAAATAAAAATTACTAATATTCTATTCCTATTCTTTTCTAATAGTATCAAAACTTTTCAACACTATAATAATTTGACTTACCTTGTTGAACAAACACTTCAGAAAAAAACAACCAGTACAAATTATCCTGTAGACACCAATGTGAAAATTACACTAAGAAATGGTAAATGAATTATGTAGGTATTTTATTATTACAACTCCGGCCACAAATAGTCGAACTGAATATGTACTCGTACAAAACCACACAAAAAAAACAATTTACTGTTTGCAAACAATTTGAAAGAATAACTGAACTTTTAAGACAGAGACAATAGCTTATCATAGACTAATATAGTCACACAAACGTCAAGCTCAGCTTATGAATCGCGCATTTAAAAGTAAGTAATTTTAATCATGTAAAGTATACATAATTATTAACAAAAAAAATCAGTTCTATTTTCATTGTAGTGCTTTGTGATAAACAATGTTTTTGTTTAATTACCTGGCGCATAGACAAACAAATCTGATGGTTATTATTATATTTTGTGACTATTCAATTGGTCGGGTCCGCGATCACATTTTTTTAATTTCTGAACGCGACATTAAATCCTCCGACGACGTATTCTGTTTTGATAGATATGATTGAATTTGAACTTTGTATAGCTGTAAGAAAGTGCAAATTTACTTTTTGACGTTAGGAATATACCTGCATTTCTTAGAAAACAGTGAGTGCTTGTAATTGAATATGAACTTTATTTAAAAGCAATAAAGCTCAAATTGATTCTATGTTTTGGTTAAAAAACGTTTGTATGTGAAAAAGAAAAGGGTTGTTTTTAGGGTTTTCCCGGCAATTATTCGATTTTTTCTCGCCGTAAGAACCATCATTGGACTTCTACGTACATTTTAAAAAAAGAATTGGCCAAATTGGTCCAGGCGTTGATGATTATGCGCTTAGCAACACATTTTGTGAATCATTTTTATATTATAGATATATAAAATTAGTTATTTAAATATGCTTATGAGGGAGAAAAAACGTGTTATTATTCCGTACTATCTATTATTTACCCTTTTAACGTCTTTGATTCTCAGACCCTTTTATCTGAGATACAATACATTGTACATCAGTTTAGGTAAATAGAACACATTTCTTAATAAATGACACAACACTAAAAGCACTTAGATTCACTTTTGCTCTTAGACGCAAATTACATAATAATTCGTTTTTTGATTTACCTGACATTTTCAACGCAATATAAGAATTATGCTTAAATATAATGATATATTCAAAAATACTATAAATATTTACCACAGTGAAAGTAGGATTGGCGACAAACTTGATCCAGATCATATGACTGAGATATGCACAAAGACTAGACTAGGCTCCAGTGAGCCTATGATGATAATCCACATACAATACCTACAACCACAAGGAGAGAGTCTTATGGAAATAGAAAACTCCGTGTTAGAAAATTCTTTAATACATATTTTTTGTGCATCTTGAACCGTTTTCACGGCGCACGCAACGGAAGGCTTCAAAGATGAAATAATTTCTCCCGTTTTTTACACATTTACCACTATAACTTTTGCTCCTATTGGTCGTAGCGTGATGTTATATAGCCCACAGCCTTCCTCGATAACTGGACTATCCAACTCAAAAAGAATTATTTAATTCGAACCAGTAGTATTGGAGATTAGCGCTTTCAAACAAACAAACAAACTCTTCAGCTTTATAATATAAGTATAGATTATAACTTGCAACAAATAATCAACTGTTAAAAAGCAATGAATATTATGCCTTGGAGCGAAATTTAATTTAAAATATAAACTCTTTTTCATATAATTTTAGTGAAGGTTTCTTTAACAATGAAACAAGGGCTCCATTGACTAAACTTTTTGTTCTTTTATTCATTAATAACTTTCTAATGTTATTGTATGTCAGTTAAAATAGTAATTGAATGAAGAACTTAGGAGTTCTATTACTTTAATAGTTAAATGAATAAACGTACTACAAACAATAAATGACGTTAGATTCAAGTTGTGGGGAATCTATATTTTAACAGAACTTTGTAAAAATAATAAGTTTTGTTAAAGTTATTTAGTGGAAAATTAAAATTTGAATAAAATCCATTTAATATGCCGAGTAGTATTGTGAAGATGCTAATTGACATCTACTTTACTGGTTATGGAGATATCATAAGAATAAAAAATAATTTGTAGGTTTTTAATAACTATTAATTATTAAGAAACAATGAGAAAAAATATTTGGAAAGTAGTAAATATAGTAGTTTGGAAATACGACATATGAAGCCTCAGTTTCCAAATTCGTCCAAATTTAATTAAAAACTAGAATCACGACTGCAGTTTAAGTCAATTCCAGATCAAAATTGCTCCGTCCATGTTTTGATTGAAGTATAAATAATTAATTGATGCACAAGTTTCAGTGAATCTTTACTAAATTATTAGTTTGGGTAACATCTACTTCCAGTTTATTATAAAACTTTTTGATTGTTAATTTCCGTTACTATTAGTTACTTTTTATAAGTATTAATTACTGTTAGTATCAGTCAATATGAAAAGT